CGCCTTCTCCGCATACAGCCCCCTCTCATCCCTAATCCTCTGCAAGTCTAATTCAAGCTTACTCTTAGCCTTCCTAAGCTCCATCTTCTCAGTGTCGACATTCTTCGTAACATCCACCCGCCCATGCAAGTCCTTCAACTGACTCAACAACTCATCCCTCTCTGCCTCAATATCCATCGCTGTAGTCCTGATGGCATGCGCCTGAGTCTGTACCTTACTCAAGTGCTCCTGCAATTGCTTCTTCTCTTTCTGCACCCCATCCAACCTCCTATTCGCCTCCTGAAGCTGAATCTTCAACTGGTTCTGCCCGCCCATCTCCGCCTCTAAATCAACCTTGATATTCTGCATATCTGCCTTCGCATGGACATTCTCATTCTCTGCCCTCGTCAACTCCGCCTTCGTCGCCGCAAGCTTTTTCCTCAGCGCTTCACATTCCGCCCTAACAACTACAAGGTCTTTATTGTTGTCCTCCCCTGCCTCTTCCAACTGCGCGCTCAACACCTCAACCTCATCATCCAACAAGCGAATCTTCTCCTCTAGAGCCTTCTCGCCCTTCTTGCTCTGCCGTAGCTCCTCCCTTGCTCCATTCAACTCACTAATCTTTGCCTCCAGCGTCCCTTTGCGGGCCTCAATCTCCTCCTGCAAATCCTTGATTTGCCGATTAAGTGCCTGCTCCGCCGCATGGTGTCTTCCGCGTTCATCATGAAATGCCTGATGAACCTTCGCCTCCTTCCCTTGCAGTCCCTGCTCCATTTGCCTCAACTGATCGATTGTATTTTGTAGACTCTTAGCCATGACCTCTGCCTTCTCCGCTCTTGCTTGCAGTTGTCTCTTTTCAAGATTCCAGTCCGCAACCAGCCTCTCCGTCTGCTGCCTACGTTCTTCCATCGTAGCCCTCGCTCGTTCCAAAGCCTCCGTAAGCCGATCACTATCTGCCTTCCATTCCTCTCGAAGCGCCTGCTCATTCACGGCGTTGGCCTCCCGCTCGTGTTGCAATGCTGATTGCGCCTCCCTAATATTCGCCTTGAGCTTCGTAATATCCCTCTGCAGCGTCGAGCTCTCGCTTGTCAGAGCATCATGTCTATGCTGTAACAGCTCTGTCTCTGATGTGACATTATGCAGCTCACTCTTCACCTTCCTCATCTCCCCTTCCAGCTCCTTCTGCGCCTTGACAGCTACATCTCTCTCGTGCTGCATCACGTCCAGTTTATCCTGCAGGGCCTGCGCCTCGCCGTCAAACTCTCCACCCAACTCATTCAACCTCCTCTCCAATCGCTCACACTCCCTAACCTTCTCCTCATGTATCTCATGCAAATCATCATACTCCTGCTTCAGCAGCGCCAGTTCCTGCTGCATCTCCTTCCTCGCCTCATCCCTCTCCGAAACGCGGCTCTTGAACGAGAAACTCTTATTCCTCAATTCATCCCTCAAATTTTCTAAATCATCCTCCAGCCCATCCCTCTCTGCAACAGTTTTCTGCTTCTCCGCCTCCAACTTTTTCTTTTCGAAATCCAACGCATCCTTCTCATCCTCCATCTGCTCATACTTCAATTCCAGCTGCCTCTTCTCCTCTTCCAGCTTCGATACCCTCACCTCCAGCCTACCCCTCTCCTCAATCACCCCCGCCTTTGCACTCGTCTCCTTCTGCAACTGCGTCTGTAGACCTGTGATCATTTTCTGGAGAGAATCGATTCTCGTATGAGCTGTCTTCAACGCCCCATCCATATTTCCTTCCAACCCGACCTTCTCCTCCCTCAACCTCTCTACCTGACTCCTCACCTCCCTATTCTCCCTTTCCAGCTCTCTAACCTGACTCTCCTTCTCCCCCACCTCCCGGTTCTTATTTAGTTGCATCTCCTTCAGCTCCAACTCCTTCTCCTTCAAATCATGTTTCGTAGCGTCCAACTCATCCCCTAATTCTTCCTTCTCCCCCTCCACTCTCCTCACCTCACCCTCCAAATCCTCCTTCTCTCCATTAAGCTCGTCAACCTGCTTCTTCAACCTCCTAATTTCCTCCTCCTTCTCCTTATCCACCGCCCCTCCATGTTCGAGCTGATTTATCTTATCAAACAACCCATCAGCCTCCTCCCTCAGCCTATCATTTTCATCTAGCACCTCATCCAGTTCGCGTTCCTTCTCATCCAACTTCTCGAGCGCCTCGCTAAGTAACCTATCCGTCTCCTCGCCTCTCTTCCCACTCCGAAACTCCCTATCTGCTTTCGACTCCATCTCACCCATCTCCCTCCTGAGCTCGGCAATCGCTTTCTCGCTCTGACTTAGGCTCTTCTTAGCCTTTTTCAGTTCACCTTTGAGCCCCTCCTTCTCAAGTTTAATCTCAATATTCTCCTCAATTGCTTGCTTCTCCCCAATAGGAAACTTTCCGAGCTTATCTTGTAACAACACCATCTTCATCTTCAACCCGAAGTTCTCCTTCTTCATGTCATCAATAATCCTCTCCTGCTCGCGCAGCGTGAGCATCTGTCCTTCACTCTGGAGCACCTGGAGTTCTTTATCCCTCCTCTCCCCCCTTCGATGGAGGTTAGAGCCGGGGGTACTTGCGATAGTGCTACTATCCAAAACCTTTATTCCCGTGGTATCTCCGCTGCGGAATGTCTCGTCCCCGTCCTCTGTATTGGGAATGGGCGAGTCGGGGTGCGTTCGGTTGTTATATTTGGATTTCATGGCGCTCATGTGTACGGACTTGAGTAAGGGGGTGAATTCTTTGCCGTTTGAGACTGCCCGGTTACCGCCAGCGAGGCTGGGGCGTAGCGGTGTGGATTGCGAACGGGTGGGGCCGCGCTTGTTGCGAGACATGTTTTGGAGTGGGTTTTTGTCGAGGCCGGGAGATGCGAAGGAGGCGGCCAGGGAGCCGAGGTCGAGGCCGTCGAGGGAACGTTGGGTTTGGTCGTAGCGGCCAGGGGTGTCCAGGCCGTAGGACATTGTGGTGGTGCTTGCCTACCAGACGGTCTGTCTCTGTCTGTGAGAGTCTGTGTGTATGTGTATGTGTGTATGTATGTCTGTATTCTGATTCCGTGAATGTCCTATCTATAGCCGGAGTCTTATGCTCTTCTCGAGCGGTTATGTCCAGTCTCGCGCTCGTTGACTTCGCCAGCCAGGCGAACCAAGTGAGTTGTTGACGTCGGATGCACAGCTCCCACCTTATCTGGAGAATTAGAAGATATTCTTTGTTTATTTACTCACCGCGCCAATGCTTGATGCCAAGACATCAAGTGTGGAGCAACTAGCGCGGCAGGCCAATCAGCGCGTGGCGCGTTACGTGCGCGTGGTGTCATGTGATTACGTGATATGGGGCAAAACCATCTGGCCTTTCAGCTACAAACAAACAATAAACGCAAAGGCTGCCTCTTATGCTTCTGCTCCTGCGAAGATTGAAAAAGAAAGAAGAAAAAGCAGAATTTTGGACAAAAATTGCACTTATCAACTTTTTTGATTCGGAGTGGGTGGAGATGGGATCCTAACAGGCCTTGATCTTGGTGTCACTGAAAGTGCATATTAAGATATGAACTATTAGATAGTACAATATAATTAAAAAAAAATATATAGTAAAAGATATTCCATACAAATGTTACTTTTTAAAATGTGAAAGATTTTATATAAATAAGCTAAGCAGGAATAGAAGATAGAGTGGTTCAGGATAATTTTTAGACATCGTGTACTTTATTCAAATTATATGATAGTACAGCCAAGGTGGGCACCGGCTCTGCCAGACAACCAACGTTTTTTGAGGGGAAGCACCAAACCTCAAGATTCAATAGTCTGGTTGCATGACGGAGGGATCATGCAACCAGACTAAAGATTGGATTTAAGCTACCACTCAATAAATCGGTCCGGGCACGAGAACAATCTAAATACTACATGACATACTCCATAGTACAATGTGATTATTACACCAGCGACCTAATTACGTTTGCTGAACCTAGGAGGGGGGGGCAAAAGAGAGCTGCGCCAAGGTTTGATGCGCTAGAGAATCTGATAAGAATGTAGATGTAAATTTGATCGCAGAATTCAATTAGACTTTTGTACGTTTGCTTGCTAGATTTCTAGTGATCCTATGGCAATCAACAAAAATAGTCTGTGGGTATCAACAAGTATCAGGAAGAATTTAACTCGTGTATTCTTGATATTATTATCCATTACTCTTGAGAGGTCTCGATCAGTTTTTTTGAGACTGGATGAAGAAAAATTCCAGTTACCCTGAAGTGAAGCTAGCGTCAGCCAACACAACCATACCATTGCCTTGGACCCTTAGACTCCTGTCTCTCTATTCTAGATCTCTTTCTTCCCACGCCAGCTACTTTGAGAGTTCCGTCAGCTTTCGATGGAAGTCTAAGCACCCGAAGGAAGGTATGGAAGCAAGAATCTGGCGCAGCGCCAGTGCTGTCGATATTCTCGCCAAAATCGAAAAAAAAAAAAAAAAGAATAATGGCTCAGCTGGGAGTTGAACCCAGATCACCCACACTCTGCTAGAATCAGCAGGACAATACATAGTAGGTGTCATACCATTAGACCACTGTGCCTCTTTGTGTAAGTGACTTGCTGCACTCAGTCTTCTATTGTTTTTCATCCGGCTCGAGACATTCTGTGGGAATTCTTGTACACACACCTTATTGTAATTTAGTTGTCTAAATACTGAACCAGGCATGAGGACGAGTTAACATCTCTGGCTCGTGCTCCCTCGACTCAATCGCATCGCGAGAGGCTACTTAATGTAGCCTGACAGGTAGTATGGTCATGAAGGAACTGTCTGCCGAAGGGGGCACAGGAACAGAGCGAGGCCGAGACTATTTAAGTACGATCTGTAGGAAGTGCTCTCCACTATACCACCAATAATCGGATACAGTAGGTAACAAAATACAGAGGAAGACTAGGACTAAGCATACAAGCTCGGGGGTCGCTATCGCTTTATCAGTTACGGGGAGAACCGTCAGGAAGATAAGACAGTATGGAGTCCGGGGATGTTGCGGAAGCAAAAAATATAATGATCCAGCTGGGAATTGAACCCAGATCACCCACCCTCTGCCTGAAATCAGCAGGACACTACATAGCAGGACTCGTACCATTAGACCACCGGACCTTTTGTGTTACTGAACTGCAGCAACCGCCTTGTATTACCTTTAGCTAGACCGAGACGTTCCGGCAGACGCTACTACAGTTTGGTTACTTTATCAGTGCCTAGACAAAATCAGCCACGAGGTCGAGGTAGCATCTCCAGATCCCGCTGCCTCGACCCGACCGCATCGCGAGAGGCTGCTTACTGCAGTCTGACAAGTAGTAAGTAGTATCACGGTAAACGGGTTGGTAGCTATGGTAATCATGAAAGATCTGTCAACGGAAGGGAGTACAGGAACAGAGCGAAGGTTCGTGATTTTTGCAGCATCGTTGAGCATACTGGTGCAAGCCACACTACATATTTGCAAGGCTACCCAGTAGAATTAGAGAGTGTGAGGGTAGATTTGTGGGGGGGCTGCAGAGCTCTGATGGGGTCGAAGGCTTGTAAGTATATCAGAGCCCTACGTTGTAAAAAGAATGACTGAGACTGTTTAAGTTCAGGATAAACTTGGATCAGGATCGCTTGCATCTATTAATTGGGATGTTCATTGTATACCATTAATTGCAATGGAACTCACAGGGATAGTCTAGTGGGATGTGTCTAGATAAGGGCTGAAGGAGTGTTGCATATACGGAATGAAATTCTGGGGTATTCCTTAGTTCAGGGTAAGATCAATTTCCGCCTCTATTCAATTAATATTGCTGCATAAGACTCCAACTCCCCAGTATCCCAGCTCCCCTTCAAGTATCTATAATTATAGCTAAACTAATGTCACCAATATCCCGCACCATAAACAATATTAATCCATTCTAGGTAGCTTTCCATAAATTATCGTTTTGGGACGACTCCTTCAGATTTCCAACTGGGGAAAATGAAAGTAAACGAACAGATACAAGCAATCAAGGGCAACCAGAGGCTTTTGCATCCGGGTGTTCTTTGAATAGGACTACCTCGAGTATGTATTCAGTACTCGTCTTTGGAACTCCAATAGACCACCAGGATGGAAAAAAGCCTGCAAATATTTACGTGGTATGAATCCCGTTCTTTAAAAGTAGCAGCCAACTGGGTCGAGGTGGTCTGCTGGAGGAGTTTACAAGTCTTGTGGTGCAGGAAATGCAGCATATCCTCGGCACGAAATGTGAGGAATGTGGGTCGATTCTTTTGTGGCATAAGAGGGACGACATGTTTTCGGTATGACTTATGCATGGATAATCTCCGGGATCAGCTCGTAACCCTTTGTAAGTCCACAAGAGATGCCAGGTATATGCCTCGTATTAGTACCCCGGTGGAGTTCAGATTTCAGTCACGGCAAGTCTGATCGGGGGTTTGGCAAGCCACTGCCTGGGAGCGCCCTCCATTCTGCAAATAAAAGGCACTTGTCTAATCGTGCATGGACGGTTCAGGAAGCTAAGTGGAAAATAATGGTCCTGGGTTTAATATGAAGGCGGTAAGTCCATATGGACTTTGCTCAACGGACATTGATACAAGCTGCTGACCAAAGTTGATGAATTGACTTCATGCATTCCGCCTAGATTGATCGAGACGTTTCAGGACATTCGTAGAACCTGCCATAAGTAATTACACCCAATTGTTATGGCAAGCAGCCAGTGGCTACACCTTGGATATTGACTTCTTTTTCCAGTGGATGAGTACCCGTGCTACATCTAATCCTGTTGGCAAAGTTGCTGGTCTATGCAGCATACTCATGTTCGATGACCCAAATTCTCAATTACCAGCTAGCCCATAAACCATAGTATGTGTTGGGGCTTCTCTTATGGAAACTAAGGTAAAATATATAACTTCTTCAATGACTATGCACTTAGTGGTCGGTTGGCCAGTGGCTTTGTCGACGTGGTGGCACCCATTGGGATTTTTATCTATAATCATTCCGAAGATGTCGCATATTGTGGCGAGAGCCCTCTAACCCAAAGAGCATCTCGATGTGCTTTAGAAACGTCAACGGATTCAGCCAAATGGTTGTCGAGATGCCCACTGCAGAGACGGCATCCTGGTTGGGCGGAGGCGGCGCCGCAGACTGTTACATAGAGCCGCTGACATACCCGTCTATAAAGTATCAATACCTAGTTTGATGGCCGAGGAAAGAATGAAACCCAGGTTGTGGTACTACTGAACTTATCCTAATTTAGGACCGTTCCAGAGAGAGAATACACCCCATTCCTCCCCAGAAAGCCCAGTGTTCTATACTTGGAGCTTGCTAATTTTACTGGTTTAATACGCCTACCTCCCTGTGATGGCGATCAGGACAATCGGAAATTCCATATCAAACTAATTCCATCGAAAACTGTGGTAACACCTATACTCTCATGAGTGGATCGATTGGCGGAGCGATTTTCATCACAACCTGGATGGACAAAAGAATATTATGTACATACGTTAGCAATCTGTGTGTTGAGCGTCATCAATAGTTTTGGGGAGATACTGAGTATAAGTATTGATTATATGTATGTATAGTCTGGCGATGTACGTAATCATTTGTCTTTATTCTAGCACTGCAGCGAGCTATTGCAAAAAACTACACATGCACGTCATAGTTCTCTTCGGTCTCAAAGACACACAAGACTGTTGGATATACTCGGTAAGCATGTGTGAACATATAAGCGCACACACATGCAAACATGTGTTAGTTAACACGTTAACACATTCATGTGATAAGGAGGATATCGTGTATATATACCTCCTGTGGTAGCTAGTATAATAAAAGCAAGCAATACAATAAGACCTATTCACTTATTACTATTCCTGCGCAGAATGCATACATCTATCTATATCTACCTATGTTATCTACGTTCAACGGGTTATGAGCCCGGGCAATACCTATATATACAAATAGAATGTCCGGAACAGGCAACACCAGCGAGGCAGACGCCCTTACTGCACTCAGCGAAACACCTCTTACTCCACCAATCATATCCGACCGAAAGATATCATCATTGAATGTGAAACTCATCGGAAGCGACAACTATCCAGAATGGGTCACTACAATGAAATTGTTCCTACGAATGGCCAAAACGGTAATAATTACATCCTACTTACATTTCTTAAGAACAGTGAAGCCGCCGTATAGGGACTATCGAAAAGGCTAGAGACGCTTGGAACGAGCTCAAAAAGGCCTACGAAGGACGAACAGCAACTGAATTCCATACCCTCTTGGATAGCCTATATATCCACTTTGATGATAGACAAACAACCATCACGGACCATATAGCAACATATGAGAAAACCCGGAATACCTTTACTGGTATAATCGGTAGGGCCGATCTGACTAAAGATACTGGCTTCGGAAGAGGATTATTATATTTCTCCAAATGCGACCAAGCCAAAACGGAGTTTCTACTCAAGTCATTACCACCATATTATTCTAATACTGTGGAAAACATCAGAGCAAAGGACCATTCCTATGATGATGCAGCTAGAAAGCTGAAAGAATACATTACTGCTCGTCAGCAAAGAAACCCAGACTATCTGAAGCAACAGCCAATAAGGTAGTGAATATCAATGACAAAAAATGCAATTACTGTATTGGAATAGGCCGAACAAGCTTCAGACACGCTGAAGCTGATTGTTTCATCAAAAAACGAGTAGCTAAACGCAAGAGAGAAGAAGAAGCCATTGTTCTACAAATAAGGATTGGAAAACACAACAGTGGAGGACCTTTAGGATCTTATCAATATGATACGGCTGCATCACACCATACTACAAATGAGTTATGGAGATTAACCAATATTGAAACTGGCCTTACTCTACCGGTCAAAGGACACAATGGCGATATATCCATATGTACAACTAGGGGAACAGCTGTCTTTAGGCATAATGGAAGGAATATTGAACATCTGGAATGTCTTTACGACCCTACATATAGCAATATCGTAAGCGGACAACGAATGCCAAAGAATCATACACTCGAAGCTAGAGGAAAAATCGCTAGATTGAGGAAGGGACCTAATGTTATTTATAAAATGACAAGGTATATGAATGGAGCTCTATGGATACAACCTGAACAACAAGCTCAAGCAAGAGCCTGCGGAACCAGCTACAGCAAGAAAAGAGCCTGCTGAACCAGCTATGGCAAGAGAAGAGCCTGCGGAACCAGCTACGGCAAGAGAAGAGCCTGCGGAACCAGCTACGGCAAGAGAAAAGCCCGTGGACAGCTACGGCAAGAGAAGAGCCTGCGGAACTAGCTACGGCAAGAGAAAAGGCCGTGGAACCAGCTACGGCAAGAAAAGAGCCTGCGGAACCAGCTAGGGCAAGAGAAGAGCCTGCGGAACCGGCTATGGCAAGAGAAGAACCTGCGGTACCGGCTAAGGCAATAAAAAGACCTAGAAAAAAGGCAATAGAATGGATTGAAGAAGTAGGCGAACGCAAGTCTAAAAGAGAGCGAATACCTACAAGAAAAATATCCACCACAATTACGATAGCCACAATATCTGGTAATAACCCTGATCATCCAACAGAGGCTCAAACTCGGCAGTCTCCAGAAGCGGCAGAATGGGCGAAAGCACGATCCCGCGAAAGAGAACAATTGCAACGATATGGGGTATACACAAAAATCTGCAAAGATGAGATCCTGTTAAGGATATTGGTCTTGTATTGAGACATACAAACAACCTTCACTTAACCATCTATGCCGACTCATCCTTTGGTGGGGAGGGGTGTAAGTCTCAAACTGGAGTCTTAATGACTTTAGGAGACCAACCAATAGGATGGTATAGTCGACGACAAGATACAATAGCCTTATCTGTCACGGAAGCCGAATATATTGCGGATTGTGAAGGAGCCAAAGACGCAGCCTGGGCACAACAATTCCTAGCGGAAATAAAAATCCAGCTAAAACCTACTCTGAAGACGGATAGTGAAGGTGCATACCATTTATCCTATACTTCACGATGCCTACGAAGGACGAGATACATTGAACACAGATTCCACTATATACGACAACAAGTGAAAAAGGAAAGACTGGTCATTAAGACAATCCCTGGAAAGGAAAATCCAGCCGATATCCTTAC